TTGCCAGTCCAGAAACCACCAATAAAAATCACTGCGCAGTCTAAATGTCAGAGTAACAGAAAAAAGCATCTATAGCACATAGGAAGGGTAACCTGAAAGAAGAGTTTGGGGATCAGCTGAACTCTGAAGAGGACATAGTAAGGTGAAAAGGAAGACATGGGTATGGCAGTCTAAACAGAAAGAACAGTACAAAGGGACAATAACAGAGAATAACAGCCTAACCCAGAGTGTATCATCTGAATACTATGTACACAGTATTGCTCTAGTTGCTGGATAAAGAAAGATAAAGGAAACAAGGCCCCTGTTCTCATGAAACTTACAAATATATATAGCAAAGTCCCATAAGAGAATAAACTGGCTACTGTGAGAAAGAACGAGAACCTCTAAGGAGGTAACATTTAAGTTGACATCTCAGGAGAAAGCTAGAACATTCCAGAGGGAAATCATAGTGTTTATGGTGAAAATCATAAGGGCAGAAGCACAGTGAGAGAACGTGTAGGCGATGCTTACACAGATAGATAGGGGCATATCCCATAGGTCAAGTAAGGAACAGACACTCTCAGGAGAGATAAACTGAAGTGACCAAAGACGAGAAACAACTTTTAGTGAAAAGTGAGGAGCTCTTGGACCACTACGTTACAATGCCAACACAGATGAAAATGAAAGATAAGCAAACATGTAAGGCTGCAGCAAGCATCTAACTGCATATGGCAAGTGGGAAGGAAGATTAGGGCAGGATAAAGGACTTCGGCTTGGACAACTACAGTGGCACCTTGGCTCATGAACTGAATTTGTTCCACCGAAAAAGCTGTTCAGGTTCATATGTATGTGAAAGATGCCACGGTTGTGCTCATCACCTGACTGAGAGTTCACAAACAAAACAAAATGCTGCCAAACACTCCTGTTTGTAAACCAAACTGCTTCCAAACAAAAGCGTTCATGAACCAAGATACCACTGCAGCCATTTTCCTGAACAGGAATAAAAGAACTGGTATGTAGTACAGAGGCAACTGGTGTAGGAAGGAGGTGAGCTTGGTTTTTGACTCAAGGAATTTGGAGTGAATAAAACAAATACAATATGTTTGCCACAGATGATTTAAAACTCAAAAAGCAAGCATGAGCAGGTAATAAAGACTTGGGGAATCATATTAATATAGGTGATAACTGGAAGAGGACTAGGGTTCCATGGGATGTGCCTGAATACATCACTTTAAATATGTAAAGAAAAAAATGTAAAGTAGTGTCCAAGAAGTCAATGAAGCTTTTTTAAAAAAGGAGTGGACAACAATGTCAGATGCGGAAGAAAGGTGGAGTAAGAACTGAAGCACTCACTGGGCTGAGCTGTAGGGAGTTCACTGATGACTTCAGTGGGATGTGCAAGGTAAAATCCAGGTTACAATGAGCCAAGAAGGAATACCTTGAAAGTGAAGTAGAACAGGTGGAACTTGGCTATGAAAGGAAAACAGCCAGGAAATGAAAGGAGACAGGCTTCTGTGAGAATTCGAGACCTGAGCAAGTTCATGTGCTCAGTGAAGGTGAAATAAAGACAGAGGCCACCTCATGGGAAAATGTCTCTAGGGAGCTAGGATCGGACTCACTGACCTTGCTCATTCTCACATTACTGCAGTGCTGACCAGAAGATAGACGCTTCTTTGGGGACAGACGAAGACGGTGATGGTAAAGATGACTGAGGAAGCCTAGAGCTCTCCTGTTTCAATTTCAACAGTATTCAGCAGACTTCAAAGCTTCAATTGTGGGAGAATACACAAGCTTAGGAATTAACAAGGGGCGAAACTCTAAAATACTCAAGAATAGAAGAGATTGCTGGACCTGTGAAGGTGCTACACTGCTTTGAGAACTCACCCACCTGAGGCAATCTGTAGAGCTCCCTAGTGATAGTGTGTACTTAGTGGTACGCAGCAACCCACAAAAGATGGCTGTTCATGTGATCCAGGCCTAAGTTTCAAGGGGCAGGATGATGGCAAACAGCAGGGTGGAGGTAACTGATGCCAGTATATGCTAGAGAAGCCAGAATGAACCAACTGGAGGAAAAGTAGCTAAAGAAACAGGAAGCTGCTTAAGGTCAAAGACGAGTACAGTGAAAGATCAAAGAATAAGGCACTTTCCACTTGAAGTAACCCTTCAAGGTAAAAGGAGCCGAGAGCGCCAGGTTCCAATTAGTTGAGCAGCAGAACAGTTCATTTACAAAGAGCAGGAAAGACTTCTATAGCACAAAGAACTAGCAGAGTGTTTAGCAACAGAAAATGCATTAAGGAAAGCAGGTAACAATATTAGAATATGAACAAGTACTAGTAGATGTGGTTCTATTTCAGATGGCAATAGGACAGACAGGGATGAAAATCACCATGGATTAATCTAGCCTTAGTGTTCCAACCACAACTCTATGGTGAAAGTGGTTTTTTTTTTTTTGGGGGGGGGGAGGTGAAGGTGGTTTTATGAAAAAACAAACACAAGTACTGGCAGTGGCCAAGACTAGATGTACTTCAACTGTCACACTGAATTTTAAAATGAGCATCAGCCATAAGCTGTTCTGTGTCTCAACAAAGCTTAGCCCTAATTAGAGAGCACAGAAGGCAAGGTCAGAAAGAATAAAGCAGCAAGTGCTCAGGTGGCCTGCTGGTTGCAACCAAGTGTGAAGAGGGAAGAGATCCATGTTTTGATGATAGGGAATTGACTCACTTGGTCTTGGAGTACACTGGAAGCACTTGACAAACTGCAAAATTCAGATGGAAGAGGCAAAAAGACAGGCAAGCTCTAAGATGGACTGCTGTAACTGGTACATATTTTACACGTAGAACAGTCCGCAGAGGTTACGTACTCCTTCGTCAGGGACAATTTTTCTATCATTAAGTGGAGACTTGGCCTATATAAGCTCTACTCTTCTTTAAATTATATAACCTTTGAGGAAGAAACTTAAAGATCATCTATGTCATAGTCTTATCAAGGAAAGTGGCTATTAAATCATAGTACCTTTGAATTCACATGAATTTGCATGTGGTAAGACATGTAGGCCAAGGCCAGCAGGGCATGTGGTGCTGGGAATGGGTCCCTGCACTTGCCCAAACAGCTGACCCATGGCCGTATACACAGCTAAAGCCCAGACCACATGATCCCTAAATCCAGTGTCGTTTGGCTTATGTAATTCTAAGATTCTTATCTTTCCTTTTGAAAAAACCCAGAAAAATCTGCAGTTCATCTCTATGTTTCTTACAATTCAAAGGTTACCACATGGAACCACTTAGCCACTTGTGAAGCTTGCAGTGTCTTTCTTTCCACTGACAAGGTACATGGGACAGCGTCAAAGGCAAGGCTAGAGAAAAGCTCTGCCTATAGTTTCTCTTATGTGAGAAACCCAAATATAAATAAAAGAATAAATAAAAGATGGGTAATAGGAAACAAGGAAAGAGATCATTCACAAATAGGGAGTCTAGAGGTAAGGAGTAAGAAGGGGAGAGAAAGTAGTCGAAAAGGATTAAGAGGTGTTATGTAGTAAGTGCCTGCCTGGGGGCTGGGGAGATGGCTCAGCAGAATAAGTGCTTCCCTGGCAAGCACAAGGGCCCGAGTTCAATCCCCAGTTCTCACACACACACATAACACACACACACACACACACACACACACACACACACAAATCAGTGCCTGCCTGGCAAGTATAAAGTCCCAAGTTCTATTCCCAGTACCAAAAAAAAAAAGGACATGTACACCTACCAACCTCCCATGATGAATGCAAACATATCCTGCAAACATGTACCAATAAACCTTTTGGGGGCTGTGGAGATAGCTCAGTAGAATAAGCGCTTGCCTGGCAAGCACAAGGGCCTGAGTTCAATCACCAGTAAAAAAAAAAAAAAAAAATTTACATATACTTTTTCTTAAAAACATATTTGATATAGGGTCTCACTACACAGCTCAGACTCCTCGTGATCCTCCTATTTTCAGCTTCCCCAGCACTGGGATTACAGGGGTGCGCTACCATACCCAATCTCCATGGCCGAGGCATGCGGTGCTGGGGATGGAATCCTGGTCCCTGCACCTGCCTAAGCAGGCGCTTACTTAGTCCGCTGAGCTATCTCGCTGGTCCACACCAATAAAAAATTTAAGAAGAAAAAATGTACTTAATAAAATTCGTAGAACTATGACATATATAAATGTTAAACCATTTTTCTCATAAAAGTAGAGCAGAAATAAGACTTAAAAGAACAAACAGGTGAGAACAATCAAGAAACTCCAAAATTACTCTTAAGTTTATTCACATATATAGTATCTGGCTGTATCATTCTGTATATGGTGAATAAACTTAATACAGTAAAGACACACAGCCGTTAATCTCCTTTAAAATACTTTTTGCTTTAAACACACTTCATTTTCCTTGAAATTTTTCGAAGCAGTTTTAGAAGTCTTGCTTGTGATTTGAGGTATGATAAATATATATATATATATATATATATATATATGCTGTTGCCGAGTGCCATTCAATGGAAAGCATGCTTGCAAGCCATGACAGTGTCTCCACCCACATTAGTCACCTGATCTGGCATCATGTGACTTTTTCTTCCCCCAAAGTCAAAATGGAAACGAAAGGTAAATGTTTTCTATCTATTCAGAACAGCAAGGCTGCCGTAACAGCATAACTAAAGACACTCATGAAAATGGATTACCAGAACTGCTTTAGAAAGTGACAAGAACGATGGGACAAGTATGTTCAAACCAAGTGGAAACTGAGCCTGCGAGATAGCTCAGAGGATTAAAGCACCTGCTTAAGCAAGCCTAGCCAAGCGCAGGGACCGTAGTTCGAGGCAGCCCTGCCCCAGCTGAGGTGGCCAGAATCTGGGCATAGTGGCCACGCCTGTAATCCCAGCACTGGGGAGGCTGAAAGCAGGAGGATCACCACAAGTCTGAGCTGCCTGGTGAGATCCTGCAACAATCAAATAAATTCCAAAAAAAAAAAAAAGCAAGTGGAAATGTTTGTGTGGGATTAATGGCAATGTGTCTTTTACTATATATGACATTTTAAACATTCACCATATTTTCCAATCACACTTAATATTGTTCTCAACTTTCATCTTGTATCATCTTCCAATCAACGGTCAATCTTTCCATGAAGAAATTCAGGATGTCCCATTTATTGGTACTAACCACAATGGCAAAGGCCCAAGAAATACTTGATCTAAACTAGGAGGAGCACGTGTAGTTTTTACAAAGGAAAAGACCTGTCATCTTAGGAAATTTCAAGTATCGTTTTTGTTGTTGTTGTCAAGAATATTTTCCAAGTTAAGAGAAAACCAGATTTTTTTCCTGCTTACTTCCTACCAACATATACAAAAATATATAGCCACACACTTCATGAAACTAAGACAAATTTCACTGCACATAGAACTTTACAGTTTTTAGCAATGATCTATCCCACATACTTAGAAAATACAGTAAGTTCAGAATGGGGAGGTACCATTTACATTCTTGAAGCAATTTGCAGTTTGAGATAGTGAGAATTTGGAGGCCAAAGAAAAAAGGAAGTTATTTTCCTGTTTTCCTTCCCACTGGTTCACTGCAAAGGGATGTATTTCTTAAGAACCAAAGGTGATAAAATGTCTACTGGCCATCACTGGTTTCTTGATAAGAATGGGACAAATGAGAGCTACAGGAATCATTACTACTTCACACTTTCTAAAAATGCTACTCTCATTAATGATAGTAAGCTAACCATATGAATGAGCAAATTATTTCAGCTCAGTTTATAACTAGCAAATAAAAATATTAGAAAATGCTTTGGCACAAGTTAAAAGTGACTCCCGTATACTTACTAATCTTCCTCAGGATTATCAACACTTATTACCAAACTGTACTTGGTTACCATTTAAAGTTGCTACCAATGTAAATGACAAGGTCTTGGGTTGAGGGTGGGAATGGAAAACCTGAGTGAATACACACGTGTAAACACACACATGCTTGTACAAATTTTCTGATATAATGCAACCAATATCTAATATTCTTTCAGAAAATAAAACATAAAACATGCTAAAAAATCAAGAAATCAAGTTATACTTTTCATAAAACACCACTCATAACCATGGTAAATTATAAATATGGAAGGGAATAATCAATAGGAGATACTGAGTTCCCAAAAGACATTTGTTCCTGTTCACACAAAGTACTGTAAAAACAAGAGCAAGCAGGATACATCTTTAAAACCCACCAGGTCCTACTCTGGTGCACATCCTAGGCTGCATAGTGGTGACTAGGTACGAGCCAGGCCAAGAAAAGGTGCAATTCCAAAATGTACTAACATTCACTCTTTTCCACTTGGCAGAGGAAAGGAGAACGAAGACAAGGAGGAAGAAGGGAGGAGGACTAAGAAGGAGAAAAGAGGAAAGAGGAAGAGGAGGGAGGAGGAGATGGCAAAGAAGGAGGGGAGGAATTTCAAAGGGACCTACACTTCAGGACCTACTGCAGAAGCAACTGCATACACATGTATGAAGCTAATTATTCATATGTGAAACTTTATTGAACATGGTTACATGTGGGACTTCAACAGCTCAATTTTCTACAGTTTACAATTTTCAAATCCCACTCTAATGTCACCTTTCTCCTTCAAAAAGTGGATAATCCCATACTTTGTCAGAGAGGTTTTATTTTCTCTTTCATCCTCCAAAGATAAGTACTGGGTGATACACAAATGTACTATGGAATTGAGACAGTAGAGAACTGAACTGCTTCTAAAATCTAACGAGCAAGAAGAAAATGAACTGACATTTCTTGGATACCTGTTAGTGACAGAAGCAGAGAAGAACAGAAGAGAAGCACAGGTAAAGTCATGCTACTCTTACAGATCTTTTGGCATTTACCATGTTTTTTATTATTAGATTGTGGGCAACCAGATTAAATGTTTACCTTCTCAATTATTCAAAGTATGACATGCAGTAATCATAATTTTACTAAGGCACAAGTCTGAATCATGCAGGCAAAGCTGGTTTGGAGCGGCTTAGCAAGGGAGCCAGGATCTACACCTCAACATGGCTTTTTCAATAACCATCAGGAAGTGAAATAAAAATGTGTTAGAGGAAAATGTACCGTCTTCCCTTCCTAGCTAGAAGCTAACCACTAACACCAGACTTGTACTTCTAAACTAGGGATTTGCATAATTCTAATGTCAAAATATTTGCAAAATATTGTCAAAATATTTGTCAAAATATTTGCAATGACAGTAGTGAGAAATATCTTTGAAAGAATTAAACACAGGGTGAAGTATGAATGATAAAGAATTCAAACTCTGAGGAAATAGGAATGGTAGAGAAACCTTTTAAGTTTTAATACAAAATATTAACAGTACAGAAGAGTAAAGTTGGTTGCAAATTAATTTCCTTAAAGTGAAATTAATACTTTACATTAGAACACCAATATTTCTTTATTTCACTAATTCCAAAACTGCAAATTATTTTTGGAGAGGGGAGGACTACCTTCTTTCCTCTGTTCTTTTCAGCCTTGACCTACATTTATAGTCAGGACAGACTACAACTTCCAAATTACTGTGGAATATACCATAGTATCAATTACATGAAATATTCAAGTTTCAAACTATCAAAGGATGACTATCTCGTTTTCCAGGTCTCCACCAGACTCAACCCATAGCAAGCACACAAATTATTCCCCAGACCACTCCCTAGCCACCCACTGCACACCTCAAGATACCAGACACCTTTCTCAGCATCCTCACTACTGTCCCTTGGTGACTGGGAAGGGAAAAATCAACATTTTAAATGTGTTCCGTATACCCTTCTCCTACTTTTGAGTTTTTAACCCATAAATATTTAAAGACTTTTACAGAGACCAAATGGTAAAAAATATTGTGCTTTCTTCTATAACGTTACTCTGAAAAATTATCAAGTAATAATCTATCGGTACTTCAGGAAAAGTGGAAACTAGTTACCTCACAATGTTCACTGAAGTTTTAAGTTGTACACTTGAGATGAGACCTCAAGACATCACACACAGCAACACAGACAAAGCCCTCAACAGGTCAAAACCCTCAAATGCTACCTAGTATTAAAGGAAGAATGAGCAAACAGTAGGTATTAAAACCACAGAGAAACCCTTTACAGAAATTGATTTTATATGAAAACTTTTTTTCTCCTTTTAGTAAGATGCCTTGAGTTAGATCTCATACCTACTCAAACTGTAACAGGACAGTACATTTCACTTCTATTTACTAGAAGACATTTCTTTTAATAAGACTGACAGAAAGGGGACAGGAGACTACAAACTGTTCTAGATCCATGCCAATCTCCTCTTTTAAAAAAAGGACAACTAATAAATTTAAGTCAAACCACAGACTTTTAAACCAAAATAAAGGACACAGGATAGTGAGACAAGACACTATTTTTAGTAACTTATCTTTTGACCTATTTAAAAAAGCCCCCCTTCTAGTAAGAGTTTATACATCTTACCTAACAAGAACAGAAGACACAGTAGGAGGGAGACGGACAGCACCGTAGTTTCAACATTCACATTCAAAAGAAAAAACAACTAGTACAAACTAGAGTAAGACCCAAGTTTCCCAACAGACTGGGCCAAGTCCCAACACACAAACACAAAGAAAATATAATTATCTATTTGAACAAAACCAAAACGGATGGCAAAGGGAATGCTAACTCCTCATACGACAAAGAAAGAATGGGATTTCCTTATCAAAACACACAAAAGAAAAAGCAACCTCCCAAATGGATTTTGGATGCTAAAATTTTTGTCATATGCTGCTGGTAACAGTAAATATATATATATATATATTTATATATTCATATATGTATATTAAAAAAAATAATCTATGTATAGAACAGTCAGTAGTCAGACATTTAGAAAAAAGTAAAAACAAGTCCTTTTTTCCTTTTTAAAAATGGATTTACTAAAACAACTTTATCACGCAGAGGTACCACAACCCCACATTCTGATGAAGTCCCGGTTACTCAACAGCATTTGCTGTGCGTGTGTTCAGACACTGCCACGTTGGGAAGAGCAAACGCTGGGTCAGAGCTGCGAGGCAAGACGCCGATGCTTGTCTTGCTCATGGCCATGCCGGAAGCCAGATGGAATCTGGAATACTTGTGAACAAAGGTTTCCCAAAAAAGCATGCAGGCTGTGGCTCAGCAAGACATTCTGGTCTTCTTCTTCTTCTTCTTGCCTTTTCTCTTGTAAAGAAGCTTAGAACTGTGTACCTGTTGTTTTCTAAAATGCAGACCCAAGACACTCAAACTTCTCAAAGGCAAAAAAAGGCTTTTTGCCTTGCATTAAAAAAAGTCTTTTAAGCATCCGGTGTAGTCAGCTACCTGCTTAGAAAAGTAAAGTGATCGATCTGCCCAGATGGTATAAGGTTCTCTTATTTGGGATTTTCTTCTTGTATATAAACAAGCACAAGCAGCTGAGGCCTACAGACTGGACTACTCTCCCATTAATTCTACGAATAACTTTGACCTGTTCCTTAGTTGTATTTATGGGACATTAAATGCCAGTAATAGTGGTAGGAAAGTTGTACTCTGACTCCAGATATTCAAGCAATCAGCACCTTCAGACAGCGGTGCCGCTAAGTGACAAGCCTCCATCATCAGCGGGCCTTAAGCTACATCCTACGCGTGCCCTGCTAGCACACTGAAGCGTTAATGCCAAGCAGCCCCTTGTGAGCGCTGCCAAGTCTCTGGTCTTAATGCAGTAAACCGTACTCAAGAGACATGAATTGAAGTGTCGGCTGTTGTACCAAAGAAGACATCCTCTGCACAGATGTGCTGATGGAGAATGCAGCCCACACAGTCCATGCAGGGGGAAGCTAACACTAAAAGGACTTTCTTGGAAGGCCATTCATCTTTGGAAGCAACGTTCTGAGTGGATCTCAACCACTCTGCTTTATAAACTAAGGTCTCATCATGGTCTGTCCCCTCCATGTCCCAAACTAAGCAAGCATCTGCTAACTGGCTTCTTTAAGATCTTCCATTGGCAGTTTGTAGCTCATTATGAAGGAAGAAGGCGGTGCATGACCTGGGCTATCTGGCCCCTGCTTCTTTGCACAGTTTATACAGATGTAATCTTCATTTTCAGCCATTTCTGGAGATACACCCACACAAACTTGATGAAACCACTCATCACAGCCACCATCACACTGTACCCAGTCTACCTGTAGAAGACAAGATTGGTTAATGTTAGGTTACATAACAGCAAGTCCAGAGTAAAAGCAAACCAAAGAGCTTTCTTGGCTTAAATGATAGCAAACTGGAATGTCCAGAGACAGACATGACTTCTTATGGGGTTATTTTCCAAAGAAAGAATGAGAAGTTAATACCCCAAAATTATATTCCACCATAGTGTGTCCACAAAATTAGGCCTCATAGGTAGGTACTCCATTACCTCATAAATACCTGGGGTTTCTTGAGAGGCAGAAACATGTTTGGGGAAAACTTGACAAAAAAGAAACTTCTAATAGAGCAGCCAAGTAGTTTTAGCTAATATTAACAATTTCTAGGCTCTAAGACAATGCAATTATCAATCAAGAAAGGAAGAGTACAACAATGTGAAGGCAATCCTGTGTATTAGCTTTATTTCAAAGAGATAAGCCAAAGTACTAAGAGCATTAAATACCTTTTTTAGAAAAGCAGTCACATAGGCCACTTTTTAAACTAATATTTTTTATTCTTCTCTTCTTCCGTTACAAATACAACTCCCTACAAAAAGTTAGCAAATATCAGAGGTCAAATCTTACAAATTAACCAATTATAACAGTCAAAGACATAGGTCAATAGAGCAGTCTGGGGTTTAAAATTAAAATGTAGATAACCGGCAGGTGTCACTAGCGGACGCCCAGCAAATTTTGACCCTTCAGAGAATACCATGATTGTAGCAGTCTGGGAAAAGACTGTGGTTTGGCAATGTCAACACTTGGGCTTGCAGTTACCAATACAGTGACTATTATATTTGGAACATGATCGTGCTTGTTTTTTACCTAATGTCATGGAAAATGAATTATGTTAAAACAGCAGCAGCTACTCTCCCTCTGCCCGATATAAAAGCTGGTCATTTCACTTCCAACAGAGAAAGCCACTTTAACCCCTTGCTTAATAAGATATCAGAGCAAAGTAAGGGAAACAAAATGATCAGAGAAGTACGTCAGCACAGCTTATGAGAAAGAACGAGGAGGCTTTGGTTAGGCAAATGAGTTTGATTCAGGGAAAATGAGTGGTTTTCAAAATTAGTTTTTATTTTCAATAATATTAAAACCATGATAATTATGTCAGTAATCAGGCTTGTAATAAAGAATGGGAAAAATAATTTGTGCAGTATTTTTGCTTTTATTATTTCTACTGCAGAATGACAGATCACAAGAGGTGGTGTTATAGCGTAAAGATCACTGAATTCTGGTGGGTACAGTTTCGGGTAAGTTACTGAATGTTTTGCTGTGGTGAGGCTCAATTTCCCTGCCTGTCAAACTGCTTTTCGAACCATTCAGACCACCTGCATTACAAAATTACCCCATGTTCTTGTTGAAAATATTCCTGGGAATCATTGAAAACCTATGGTCAGAAAGTATCTGGACAGTATGAGACAGAAGCTGACATTTCTAATTAGCTCCCAAGTGTGGCTGTGGGCGTGGGTGTGTGTTTTGTTTTGTTTTTGAGATGAAGTCTCCTTAAATTGGTCAGGCTGACCCTGAATTTGAAATCCTCCTGCCCCTGCTTCCCAAATAGCTGGGATTACAGGACCACATCAGAGTGATTGTTATTTGATGGTTGACGCACTTTCTCTATGACACTGCTTCCTGTAAATTCCGAGCAATTTACCAATTCTTTCCTAAATTCCTGTTTTGTTTGCTTTTTTGGTAGGCCTTTGCACTGCGCTACATTCTTCCGGTTCATACTTTGAAACAGGAGCTCCCTAAATCACCAAGATGCCTAGGCTGTCCTTAAATTTTCAGTCTTCCTGCCAGAATACTGAAACTATAAGCAAGTGCTACTACACTCACTTAAATTCCACTTCTACTGTGTAGCTGCAGAATATCTCGCTTCTGAAGTTTGTGCAGGAAAGACAATAACTGATGGCATTACTGCAGTTGGAATCAATGAATCAGAAACAAAATTAGGAGATAATGACTTCTCTGTAACTATTTTATCATTTTATAGTTCTGTAAGCAAATAGTTTACAGTGTTATTACCTATGCAGGAAAGGAACTCGGACTGGGTGTTCTGACTGTCCGGAGCTGGGAAAGGGAGTTAGGAAGAGGACCTGTAATTCTGCAGGCTGGAGGTGTTTGAGATCTATGCTGTTTTATCATGCTAGCCCTGTGTCACCAGGCACATTTACCCCACCTTCACCGCTCTTAATGCAATCCAGGCCCCATTCATACTAATCCACAGAGCAATAAAGTTAGACAATAAATACTAAACAATAAATACTAAATTTGTAAGTATTTGCCATGAAAAGTACCCCATGTCTTTTTTTTTTTTTTTTTTTTTTTTTTTTCTGGTTTCCAACCCAGGACCATGTACCTGGCAGGCAGGCACATCTGA